CCAGGTCTCTGGCTTCTAAGCCCTGGGAGAAATGAGGGGGACCAGGATGAGCCTGGCTCCACCCACTCGGCACAGCCCCAGTGCCTGCTCCTCACCAGACTGTGGGGGTCTCCAGGGCAGGGAATAGGTGCAAACCCAGCACCCAGCACTGGTGAGCACAGAGGAGGCCTGAGGAAGGCCCAAGGAATCACACTGAGGCTAAAAGCAGGGCTTCCTGCCAAAGGGAACGGGACAGTCACATTCATGATTCATTTCTTCAGCAAATATTTACTGAGCACCTACTACTTGCCAGGCACTATGCTAGATGATGGGGACACAACAGTGAGAAAGACAGACAAGGTTTCTGTTCCCAAGGGCCTGACATTCTTCTGGGGGAGATAATGACCAAAACATATAAGCACACATGATAATTTAGGTAATGATAAGGGCTATAAAAGTAAAATAAGATGTGGTGATTGGGGGAGGCTCTCTAGATAGGGTGGCCAGAGAAGGCCTCCGAGAAGAGACTGAATGTCTGGAAGCCCAGGCACACAAAGACCTGGGCAGAAGGGCAGCACATGCAAAGGCCCTGAGATACGACTGAGTCAGGGACAGTGCAGAAGGAGCAGGAAGAACACCAGTGTGTCTACAGCATGGTGTGTGACATGGTGGGGAGGAGGTTGTGAGACAGTGGGGGCTGCTCACAAGGGGCTTTGTAGACCAGGAGGAGGAATTTGAAAGGTTTGAGGTACGGAGGGAGGAATGGAGGGGGATGGCAACTGGCAGTGCTCCTCGCAGTTGAAGCTCTGGGGCTCTTGGTGTCTCTATACAACAGGGCAAGCTGGGGCGCTTCCTCAAAAAGCTTGGGAAAGGATGAGCTGCCACCACCATCATGGAGACTGGGAGGAACCTTCACTCATTCAGCAAAAAAAGAAAAGCTCAGCACCTATGCTACACAGAGCTGTGTGCTCAGCCCTTCACAGCCTCACCACACTTCTGGCTTAAGGAGGCATGCCACAGACTGGGAGATGGATCTAGGTTCTAACCTGGTCTTGATAACCCTGGACAAGACCCTTCTCTCTGGGGACCTCAGTGTTCCCATCTGCAACGTGAGGGCTGGGCCAGATCTAGCACTAACAGATATCTATGTTTTTATGACTCAAGTACTTGCCGCTGAATTTGAAGGTGGGAGGGTGGGGGCAGGGCAGGATTTCCACATTGGCCACTGAGTCACCCAGCCTGCTAATAAAATATTATCCTTAGCACTCCTTTCCCAGCTCAGGCGAGCCCTTGGTAACACAGATAACCTGAAAGTGGCCTCTGTGCAGTTGGGGAAGTGGTGTAGGGGAGGGGAAAAGCTGCAAAGGATTGGGGGAGGGGAGAACACGAGTGATGTTCTCAAGCTACGCTTTAAGACTGAGTTCAGTGACTGTCAACCCTCATACCCCCAACAATCTAGCCACTTATTTTTACCCCCTACCAAGCTTCTGCACTCATACCCACAGTGATGGAGAACTCTATCCCCACCACCAGCAGCCTGTCACAGTCCTCAACAGCTGTTAGAAAGGATTCCTCCATTACAACAAAACCTGCCCCCATAATCCCACCTCTGTTCCTGGCCTTGCTCTTTGGAACCACACAGAATAAATCAGCTCAGAATTTTACTGGGGCTGCCACCATCTTGTGCTGTGTCCTGTGCTGAACCCTGGGGATAGTGGCAGGCATCAGAGGGCTTTGAGCTGAAGAGCCAGCCCCCAGTCCAGGGTCAAAGGCAGGGATACAGATGCAACTAACTGTAGCCTCTACACCTGGCATAGGACAGTCCTTCAGAGATCAGAAAATACCAACACAGACTTCCCCCTTTCCCGACACATACCCACCCACCCACACTCTCCCAGCTGGCCTTTGCTTCTGGCCAAGAAACTAGATGCCAAGGTATCTATTTCAATCTCTTACCCACCACAGGACTTCCCTTCATGGAATCCATGGTCTCTCCTCGAATACTGCCACCAACAGAGTGTTCACCACCTTATCCACAGAAGCAAACTAGGCCACTGGGGAGTGTCTTCAGGACCAGGGATGTAGAGAGCAGGTCCAATGGAGATGCCCAGATAACACAACATTTGCTTCAGCACCCTCCCCTACCCCACCCAGACCTTCACCAAAGTAGATCCCAGAGAGCTAAACTGACTGGTTTGCATTTCATTGCTACATTGCTACATTCCATGATGTAATTCCTTGCATCCAGTTTAAAAAAAATCATATTTTCAAGACAACAACATGGAGAAATGTGAAATGCTCCTGATGTTATTAGGTGACTCGGTCAAAATTATTCACTAGAGTACAAGATCTCTTGAGTAACAAACTGTAGTCAAAAACGTAAGAGCCAGGCTCACTGGCTCCTGGAGACACAGCTCACAGCCTGTGGACAGCAGACCCAAGGGAAGGGACCTCCAGGAAGGACTGCCACCGAGAGTGTCCCTATCCCACTGTCCAGAGACAAAAAATTTTTAAAAGTGTGAATGTCGGGGGCCGGCCCGGTGGCACACTGGATAGTGCGCCGCTTGGGAAGAGCAGCGGCGCTCCCGCCCGAGGGTTCGGATCCCTCATACAGACCGGTTCCCGCTCACTGGCTGAGCGAGGCGCGGGAGCAGCACCGAGGGTTGCAATCCCGTTGCC